GAGAGAGAGAGAGATAGAGAGAGAGAGAGGACGTCGTAGTATATCGTTAAGAAAAGAACGTGGACAGGTAATGGAGAGGAGGTCGGAATACCACAGGCTATATTGGAATGAACGTTGAGAAAACTTTGAAAGATCGTTCGAAATGTAATCCAGAAGGGGAAAATGTCATACATGAAATCTTCAGGATTTTCTTAACTTGTATACAAAATACTTTACGAAAACGAAGTAAGAAATAATAATATAATAATAATACGATAGAGAAGGGTAATTTTTAGGATAAGTTAGCCTTGAATGAATATGAATTCCATCTTAAGATTCTAATTATTTCGTTACGAGTGAGACTCGTGGTAAGAAGTTTAAGCAAAAACTATAAGCACGAGTCTGATTCGTTCGATCTTCTTGATCATTGTGGCTCGAGAAAGGGAATTATTCTGATCATTCGAAGCATATATATATTATATATATATTACTTTCAGTTTATCAATACATTTTCAATCGATCAATTTTAATTTTATCAATTAAAACGATGCTTCAACCATCCCAAGATCATAGGATCAAAGTGTTTTGGTTTTAATTATAATTATGAAACAGGAGAATTTAATGGAACTAAATGCTTTGCAAAAATTGTAAAGAATTTTTAAAAATTAAATAAACTAAGAATGTAAATCATAAAGCTAATGATAAAATTATATTTAATAATAAATGTCTTGTTAAAGTAAAAATATAAGGGATTAATCTAAATAGATTAACAATTATAATATAATCAACTCTTAAATTTCAGACATTTAATGAATTTTAAAAAACAATTTTATTGAAAGTTAATTTTAGTTTGACAAACTAGTGTTATTTTAAATTTAACTAATTTTTCAATTTATTTTATTAATTCATTCAAGAAAATATTTAAATGATTCAATTATAATATCAGGTATAAATCTATGATTTATTCCACAAATTTCAGAACAAAAAAAATTCTGATCATTCGAAGCATATATATATATATTACTTTACCAATAAATTTTCAATAAAATAGACCAATTTTAATTTTATCAATTAAAACGATTACCGCATGCAACGTGTTACAAATCGTTGGATGCTTCGACTATCGACCAAGATCAAAGTGTTCTGGTTTTAATTACAATTACGAGACATTTCTTTCTCTGTTATTTGTATTATGCGCGATATACAAAAGAATACGCGCTCCACGAAAGTAGCGTATCATCGATCGGAATTCGAAAGCGTGGAGGCGGTGCTTTGTTCCATTATTCGTTTTAATTCGGACGCGCGATTCCCATTAAACGAGTCGCGCAAAATCCGATCAAAGAAAGTAGCGAGCAACTTGGAACAACTAGAATTAACGACATCGAGAACTATTAAATTCCTGCAAACTCTCCTCGCTACGTAAACAGCGAAACACGGGATTGGAACGAGCGACGATCACGCGCAGACCTCGAAACGAAAACGAGGAG